GAAACGGGAATCTCATCAGGGAAAGAAGACTTGCAAGATACGAGGACACATACTCTGGCAAATGTTAACCGAGTTTTTCTGGCAGTGAGGGAGTCAACCGCAAGCGGGTGGCCAACAAAGCTTACGATTTTAGATATTCCAGCGGGGTACCAAACAGCAAGGGGCAAATCAACAATTTTTATCCAGATAGGGATAGAGGAAAACTCATCTCGTTGAGGCTTGAATTTTGGAGTCCACTTTTGAAGAATGAAGGGACGCCCGAAGAAGAACCACGGACCACCCGAGCATGCAAGCTGGTAGTCTTCCGGAGAAGAAAATTTGAACAGGAAGAAGCCATCGTTAAGCGAGAGGAGCTCCACATCTCCCTTCGGGTTCCAAGCTTTCTTGACCGAGTTGAGAAGGCTCAAACAGGTCAGCTATGGCCCGATAGAGTAACCAATGAGCGAAGAGCCCCAATCTAAAACTCCCTTAGCAAGCTCATCAGTAGAGAAGGGGACTTTCGTAGCCGGAGGGACGAAGGAAAGCGAAAACTCTTCAGCAACCGGATCTTCCTTAGTGAGATTAGAAACAAAATTCAATCCCACAGGACAAGCAAGAGCCGGAGGAAGAGCACCAGGCAGGGGAGGGAAATTAGAGTGGTAGGCGGAGGAGGAGGCCATAGAAAACGCACCCCCCCCCCTCCCCAGGCGGAGGCTTGGAAGAGGAAGAGAGAAACGGCGGGGAAGCTAGGGTAAGGAAACCCTAGCAGCGATGCGTACAAAACATCTCTTATCTTCTTTATCACGCAAAGAAGAATGAATCTGAGTGACAAGGCAGGAAATTTTGAGTTCCTGGATGACCAGGTCACCTCCTCTGATGTGGAAAAATATTTCTCCTTCTTTGTGACTTCATGTGCTGTATATCATATTTGGAGATCGAGGAATGAGAGGCGTTTTGCTGGCAAAGTTGATTCAACTAAAGGCCTCATTACGAAAATTAAACATGCTATTCGGTTTAAGACTTTACACTGGAACAAGCTGGATTTGCTTCTTACGGTATTTCCTTCCTGTTTTACTGATGGCTGAGCGTTTTGATGGTTTTGTTCGGCGTGCTCAGCAATTCTATTTTTGGGGGCTTGTATGGACTATACAGACGATGATGAGTGGAGCTAAACCTTGTGGGCTCGGTTGGTCTCTTCCCTTGGACGGCCTGCTTCTGCCGCATTTCTCTTCGAGCTGGGTCTTCTTTCTGCTGGCATCGTTATATTTATGATGCTGTTTGGTTTTTTGGTGGATAACAAATTTGCTGCTTCTTTCTGGTTTTGCTGGGTGGCTGCAGGCAACCAGGGCTGAGTGGTTTCGTGTTTTTGGGTCTTCCTGACATCTGTTTAAGCATTTTTGCTTAAGGGTTTAGCTCCTTTAAGCCTGAGTATGATTTTGTTATAGCCATTAGTCCCTTTCTGGTTTTGTTCTTTTTTGGTTGCTATGGGTTACACGGGTTATACATGTATTTTTGGTTGCTAAACCTTTTTTCTTTAGGTTTAGTTCTTTTTGTAACCTCTTTTCTTTTATATACGGGCTTTGCCCCAAAAATTCCCCAAAAAAAACGACTAGTATGTGAATGGGTATTAAGTTAAGAGAGTTGCTATTTGCATGTTTTGCATTCTTGCAACTTGTATTATTTTGACGATTAAAAATATTATTGTTTTATGTATAGATATCTCCTAACACTTTTTGGAATATTTGTTTTTGCTCTAGTGTGTACTAACATTTTAGGAAAATCAACTCCAAACTATGAAGACTTCAAATCAAATTCAGCATAAAGCTTTAAAAATGTTTTTGAATTGAGAGGGAGTGATTGTAATTGAGTGAATATTCACAACACACACATAAGGGGGAATAACTTTTGTGAACTGATCGTACGGGATGAACATAGTTTGTACGGGACGAACATAGTTTGTATGGGACGATCATGTCAATTAACCCCTCGGAAGAGCAATGGATCGAACAGGCAGTAAGAAAATTTTTCTAAGTCCTAATCGTCCAGGACGAATTTAATATTCATCCCGGGACGAACGGCTCTGGATTCTCACGTTGCACTGTTCGTCCAGACAAAATGCATGGTTCATCTCTGGATGAAACTCTCTGTTTAAAATTGTATAGGATGAAATTAACCTTCATCTTTGGACGAAACTCTCGGTTCAAAATCGTACAGGACGAAATTAACCTTCATCTCTGGATGAAACTCTCTGTATAAAATCGCCCAGGATGAAACTTGTTCATCCCAGGATGAACCGAACCGACTTACCTTAGTTGGTTACATCCTGCAGGGATTTGGAAACCAGCCTATAAAATAATCGTTTCGTACCAAACGAACCTAGTTTGTACGGGACGATGATTATGTACGAACATAGTTCGTACTAATATACTTTAGGATCATTTCTGACACTTTAAGTAAAATCGCCCAGGACGATCCACGATCGTACAGGATGATCCACTGCGTACAGAATTGAAAATTTGCAGTTTTTGCGCAGTTTTTCTTGTCTTTCCTATATATAGTCCAAATTAGTCTGCCACCAAATCTTTTTGGTCATTGATCTTCGTGCTTATTGAAAGAAGACTAAAGGAAAGAGTGAGTGAGAGCATTCAAAGAAGGATTTCTACCACTGGAGCATGAAGGCTTTACTTGGTGTTCAAAGGAAAGATTTCCTATTTGTGATTTGAGATTACTTCATACTTTTCTTTCTTTACTTCTAGATTTCTACTAAGGATATCTGTCAAGGAGATTGGATTCTCTGCCCACACTAGGAGAGTGTGAAAGGACGAAGGGTTCTCTGCCCACACTAAGAGAGTGTTAAAGGACGGACGGTTCTCTACCAATACTAGGGATAGTGTAAAAGGACGACAGTTCTCTGCCAACACTAGGGATAGTGTAAAAGGATGACGGTTCTCTTCTGTACCGGGTAGTAGTGGAAAGAGTATTTGTAAAGTCTTTTCCGCCTTGTTGTGGGTGCAAAAGGAGAGACACTATTGGTATTAGTGCAATACTTAGAGGGTGCCTCTGGGGAGTGGATGTAGGTTTGATTTAGACCAAACCACTATAAATCTTGTTTCATTTATTTTTTACTGTTTCTTTAATTTTACGCATTTTACTGTTTAAAAAGTTGTGGTTGAAAAATTTTTTTCTAAAAATTCACTAAAGTTATTTTCGGTTCAACTCATCAAAAAGAGGGATAATTTTTAACTTTCAATTCACCCCCCCAATCATAAGTTTAAACTACTTTTTGATTAACGTAGATGGCTACATTTGGAAACCAAAACACACATGAGGGTTACTCTATTACTAGACCTCCACTGTTTGACAATATATCTTTTGATTTTTGGAAAACACACATGTCTACTTTCTTATAATCCCTTGATTATCGTATGTGGATCTTAGTCTAGGAAGAATATATAAAACCAACTAGATTCGTTGATGGAGGTAGAGTTGAAACACCTTTTGCAGACTGGACTATAGAAGAATGTGACTTAGCACAACTAAACACTAAATGTTTGAATAGTTTCTTTTGTTCTTTAAAATCTGAAGACTACATGCGGGTTTCCACTTGCAGAAGTGGAAAGGATAAATGGGATAGACTTTGTATAACATATGAGGGGACTAATGAGGTTAAACATTCTAGACTTAATATTTTGTTGCATGATTATGAACTGTTTCGCATGAAATCTAATGAATCCATTTCTGATATGTATACAAGATTTACTCAAATAGTCACCTCTTTGCATGAACTTGGTAGGGAACTAACGAATGCTAAAATGGTTAATAAGATTCTTCGTTGTTTACCCACTACTTATGATGCCAAAATTACTGTAATTACAGAGTCTAAAGATCTAAATATTTATTCAATTGATAATCTTCTTTGTTCACTTACTGCTTACGAGAAAGGAGTTAGCCAAAGAAAGATTGATGCATGTGAACCACAAAAGGAAAAGAACATAGCACTAAAAGTGGAAGAGTCTGAGAGTGAACACTCACAACTTGAGGATGAAGACGACATTGCATTAATAACTAGACAGTTTAGAAGCTTTCTAAAAAGGAAACAAAAGAGACGCCAGCAATGGAATAGAGGTAAATTTAATAAAAATGACAAGGTTTCTAATGAAGTAATTTTCTATGAATGCAGGAAACCTGGTCATATTAAAACTGATTGCCCAAAACTCAAAGCCACTCCTAGCAAGGAGAAGGTAGAGGAGAAACCAATTATAAAGAAGGACAAGAAGAAGTTTCAAAGAGCTTTCTGGGCGAACTCAACTTCAGATTCATCAGAGACTAAAAAGGAAGAAGAAGTCACCAATCTTTGCTTGATGGAAAATAGTCTTTATCAGTCAGATCAAGAAGAGGTAAGTGACTTAACTTATGATGAATTAATTGAAGTTTTTGAACACATGCATGATGCATATAAGAAAATGAAGAAAATACATGATAGTCTAAGTTTAAAATTTGAAGAACTTCAAAAAGAACATGAAATCCTTAGGAAAGATCATGCCTTAATAGATGACAACCATATGAAACTACTCGATGAATTTGATGACTTGAATAAAAATCATGAGAATTTAAAATCATCCTATGCTGATCTTGAAAAAGAATTTAAAAAATTTAAGGATGAATCAGAGAGCAAAACATATCGAATCAATTATACATATCAAATTTTGGAAGATATGAATTCATTTTATAAGTTGAAAATAAAAGCTCTCGAGGATAATGGGATACACCCCAAACTTGAAGATTTTACAAATACTAATTTTTATCCTAAATATATGGAATCCCTTAGAAGATAAACAGTTGAAGGTTTAAAGCATAACTTATTAAGTATAAGTCAGCTATATGATAAGGATTATAGTGTAAAATTTTTTCCTACTAGCTGCATATTAAGCCTAAATGATAAAGATGTTTTAAATGGTAAAAGGGTAAACAATGTTTATATGCTAGATTTAAATTGCATTCAGACTCCTACTGCTTTTTGTTTGAAAACTATTTATGATGAGTCATGGCTTTGGCATAGGAGACTTTGTCACTCTAGCATGAAAAACCTTAGGAGGATTACCCAAAAGAATTTAGTAAGAGGTATACCAAAACTAGACTTTGCTAAGGACCACCTTTGTGATGCATGTCAATTAGGAAAGCAGGTGAAGTCCTCTTTTCAGTTCAATAAGGATCTTAGGATGAGTAAACCATTGGAAATTTTACACATGGATCTTTTTGGACCAGTTGGAATTGTGAGTCTAGGAGAGAAGGTATACTGATTTGTTATTGTGGATGATTACTCAAGATTCACTTCGGTTAGATTTCTATTTCATAAGAGTGAATCATTTGAGGAATTTAGAAATTTTTCGACTTGGATTCAAAGGAAATTAGGGTGTGAAATTATTTCTATACAAAGTGATCATGGAGGAGAATTTGAGAATGAGAGATTTAAAGATTTTTGTAAGGAGAAGGGAATTGATCACAACTTTTCTGCACCTAAAACCCCTCAGCAGAATGGGGTAGTCGAAAGGAAAAACAGAACATTAATAGAAGCCGCCTGAGCAATGTTGGTAGAATACTCACTTCCTAGATATTTTTGTGCTGAGGCAGTTAGCACTACATATTATGTTCTGAATAGGGTGAATATAAGATCTAAATT